ACTGTCAACATAATTAATTTTTAATTTTTTGTGCCTAAATTGATGATTTACATGAATTTATGAATTCAGATGTTGGATTAGAAACGTAAATCATGTGGCTTAACTGTTAAACGTAAAGATGCATTTTACATGATGAAAGCCATATCATTATGAAAAATGCATCTTTAGATGTTTTTAGTTTTAAAATTTTATAATCTTAAGATGGAAAAACGATCTTAGAGACAATTGCATTTTTAAGATGAAAAGACTTAATTATACATTTTAAGACAACTATTAATTATAGGATGTGTGTTGCGTGTTCATGCTACAAGTTTACTGTCAACATAATTAATTTTTAATTTTTTGTGCCTAAGTTGATGATTTACATGAATTTATGAATTCAGATGTTTGGATTAGAAACGTAAATCATGTGGCTTAACAGTTAAATGTANGATGAAAAGACTTAATTATACATTTTAAGACAACTATTAATTATAGGATGTGTGTTGCGTGTTCATGCTACAAGTTTACTGTCAACATAATTAATTTTTAATTTTTTGTGCCTAAGTTGATGATTTACATGAATTTATGAATTCAGATGTTTGGATTAGAAACGTAAATCATGTGGCTTAACAGTTAAATGTAAGGCATTTGTAAAAGTGGAGCATTCATAAATCATATATATATGCGCACGGCATCATGTAAGAATTGAGATTAATTATTACGTCTATGAGTTAGACCAACAATTGAAAATGTATAAAATATCTTAATGATGCCATATGTTGATAGTTGTGGTTTTGTGAGATATGTTACGAAAAGAAAAACGTAATCTGGAAAAAGATTTTTTTATTTTTATTTTGAAAAGTGGAAAATGATTATCTACATGATGATGTTTTATTTTGCCGACATGAACATCTATTAATAATTCTGAAGAATGAATAATTTGCATGCATCTATATTTACTTTCTCTGGTGGTTACATTTTTGTTGTTGTGAAAAATCACAACTAAAAGTTGCGAGTATGAAAAGTCACCACTAAAGTAACGTATAAATCCATCTATGAATTAATTTTTTGAAACTGGATAAAGTCAACAATTCAAAATACACCTTATTAATAATAGAAATCTATGGTAACTGGTAAAAGTTGCACCTTTTCATAAAAATTGAAATTAATTTTGTTTTTTTCATCCAACATGTAAGTTATAGATTTTTTTTTCTAAAAATAATTATAATATCTTACTAACTGTTTTTCTACATTTTTTAATTTTAAATGTTGTATCTTCTTATTATAAAAATTGTGTATTTTCATGTAAAAAGCTGTGAATAGTTTTGTTTTCTCAACATTCAACTATTTGAAAAGTTCTTAAAATAGTTAAAAATATTTCAATAAATGGCTTTCTATTTTTTTCATACGCAACTATTAGAATTTTTTTAAAAGTTGTTATAATATCTTAATAAGTGTCTATTAATCTAGGAGTTGTGTCTTCTCATTAAAATTGTTTTGTATTATCATAAAAAACGATTAGTTTGTATTTCTCAACATGCAAGCATTAGAAAGTTTTAAATAGTAGTTAAAATATTTCATTCAATAAATATTTTTCTACAATTATTAGTTTTACGAGTTGCGTCTTTTCATTATAAAAATTAATTAATTAACAACCTGTTAAAACTTCTCAATAACTGTCTCTTCTTTAATTATATGTCTTTCATATCAATATAGATCTTTTTATAATGATGTGCCAATCTATTATATATTGTAATGTATTATCTTATAATAATTATATACTCTGGAATTTAAACAAATGTTAAAGATTATGTCTTTTCATTTTTAAAATGCTCATATATCTTTTCATCTTAACATTGTGTATTTTCATTTTAATAGTTATTTATATAAGTTTAAAATTTGTTTAAATGTCTAAAATATGTTTTCATCGAAACAATGTGATTCATCCTAAAATTTGTGTAAGATTAAGAAAAGTTGTTTAAATTTATAAATATGTATATTTTCTTCTAATAATTGAAATGGTTAAAACATTTTCTTTTATGCATCAATTGATATATGTGCTATTTATTTAATGAATCAATATTACACATTAGAAAATTTATAAATATGTATCTTTCAACCATTTCAACTGTTAGTCCTCTCTATAAAAATTTATGGAAATTGAATAATCACAGTTAGAAAATTACAGCAATCACAAATAAACAAAAACAATGTTATAAACTTTTTTGAAAACAATAATAAGATGTTTTTTTATTCTTTTGTGACATAACAAAATATTTTGTATTATTAATTTTTAAACTCTATGGAAAGTCAAATGTTATATTCTTTTTTCTCTTTTGAGATGTATAAACACATTTAAATAATAACAAGACACTTTACATAAAAATATAAACTATACAAAGTGGCATATATTTTTTTTATAAAATGAGGTCAAGCTAATAACTTAGAACATACAAAACCTCAATGTGTGTGATTTTACCAATTGGTTATAAATTTTAAGTTATGGTATATTTTTCATGTAAAATTGAATAGTTATGAGTATTTATTTTATTATTTGCAATATTTTCTCTATTTAATCAAATTTTATTTTATTTTATATTGAAAGATATATATGTTTATTCTATGATTTTTATGTTAAAATATTTGATACAAAACTTCTTAAAATAAATTAGTTGAATACTTTAAAGACTTAAAACTTAATTGAATAAATTCTTGGGACCAAACAATTTACAGAAGGGCAATTCTCTCAAATATATTTTTAAGTTTTTATTACAAATATAGATCTCAAAAACTAAAATGACCAAAATATCATTTTCAATTTTGAAAATTTTCACTTTTTTAATTTTTTAAAATTTAAAATCATAACTCCAAAACTCCACTCCTCAACTCTAAACAAAAAGATATAGAATTAGTTAACCCAAAAGGTATAACTGCATATTTATTTATTTTTTATAAAAAAAATAATTTTGTTTTGGTCACTTTTATTTTTTAGGTCTATATTTGTGACAAAATTTTCTTAATCTATTGTGGGAATTTCTATTTACAGAATATTAAATAATGATTTCATGTCAAATGCAACAATCAGAATAAGAGAATAGTTTTGCAATATCTTATTCGTATTACTTGTGAGATAATTAAATTTGATGAATTTTTAACTTAAAAATCATAACTCTGTCATTGACATTACAAAACAATTGATTTATTATATGATAATACTTGGAAAGACAAACAATGTAAGATTCTTTCCATATATATATATATATATACATATATATATATATATATATATATGTAATGTTATACCAAAAAATCTGTTTCCAAATTTGTAAGAAATATATTTATTTGGAAGACTTTATTTTATAGATAATACAAATAATGATTAAGAAAAGAAAATTGTGTGGATGAAATGAGAAGAATATATCAAGAGACAAAATACCTTAAAATTACCATGTAATCATGTTTTTGACCATACATGTCTCACATAGTTTCAATCAAATTTGAATATTAGATTTGTCATTATAAATCACCTTACTACTTTAGTAAATGCTTAGATGAGAATTTTCTTTTTAATTAATTTCAAATATTTAGTTTTTTGATATTTTTAAATAATTTAGCTAAATAGATAGTAAAATATATTTCTTATTTTTATTGTCGTACTTGTAATTTCATAACAACCACTTACAACAAAATATAGTTACGATAGATAATTTTGTATTATATGTATTTTCTCGAAAACAATTAAAAACACCTTTTGTAAAATATGACATAGTAGCACAACAATATCTATACTATTATTTGCGAAGTGATTTTTTCGCAACGGAGCTCTCACATTAAAACTTGAAGTGGTTAATATCGTTTACACCCTTAATGAATAAAATATCTAAATCAGCTAAAAATAAAAACGAATTTAATACTTATTTGATTAAATAAATGATGTAAATTAATAATAATGATAAGAATTATCCATAATCTAAATATATATTTAACAATATTGTGTTGTTATCAGGAAAATATATTTTTAATAAAAAATTCAAAAACAGAAAACACATAAATAAATATTCATAAAGTAAAACTTTTAATTGTATATAATTCAAAAAAGAAGATTGAAAAAGTATAATATGTAATTATTTTCAAATTAAAATAATATAATAATAGAATATAATGATATATATTCGTGAAGTTATTTTTCGCCTCTAAACTCACACTTTAAATTAAATTTATGTTTATATTTTATATAGTTAAACCTTAAACATGAATTAATCATATAAAATAAAAGATCATTCAAAAAGAAAGAAATACGTGTTTGACAAAAATAAATTCAAATATATTGTATTATTATCTAAAATAATTTTATTATTTCTATAAGATCAATTTTTAAATGTATATTTATCGATTCAATTTTTCAAATTGAAAGATAAATTTCTATATTTTTTTTATCAATTAAGAAGAAATGAAATAGACTTTTGATTTTTCAAAATTTTAAAGGAAAAAATAGATATGTTTTTCATTTTTGAATAAATTTACCAATGTAAAATGTTTTTAATGTTTTAGCTCGAATTATTTAGATGTAAATAATCATTTATTTTGATGATTTTGTAAATTGACTTAAATATAACTAAGCCCGCATGTGCGGACAAAACACCTAGTTAAAAGTATACCGTATCAAATACCATATGACACAAAAACATCTTTTTATAAAAGAAGTTTCCGTTCAATATCGCACGGTTCCTAATCTGTTAATTCTATTGGTAAATTACATCAAATTTATGTGTGTTTCTTATTGTTTATTTATTTTGCTAACTTTTCTTCTGAAATCCGTCACGACGCACAAGACTCATTCCTTTCTAACTAGTTAACAATATAAAATTTACAAATTATTGCTTCCGAAAGTAAAGAACGTTTAACAAGTTTCCTTTCCACTCACTATATAACTTGGCTACAATCCCCACTTTTAAGAACCACCAAAACTTTAAGACTCTAAACGTCAAAAACAGGAAAAGAAGAAGAAGAAGAAGAAGATGAAAGTCTCTATCCCATCTCGAAATCTAATCTTGGTCACAACCATTTTCCTAATTTATATTGTCCCCCTAAGAGCCGAAGACAGCCCACAAGACTATTTGGACGCTCACAACAAAGTACGAGCCGAGGTTGGGGTGGGTCCTTTAACGTGGGACCTTAAGCTGGCTCTTTATGCCTCCACCCACGCGAAGAAGCTTGAAGTTGTGTGCACTCTTGAACTCTCGGAGGTGCCCGATGGCGAGTTATTTGCGCCCTATGGCGAGAACTTAGCTATGGGTGCTTGGAGTAGTGGCAACATGTCAGCCGCTCAAGCGGTTGAAATGTGGGTGAAAGAGAAATCTGACTACAATTATAGTTCCAACACATGTGCTCCGGACAGATTGTGTTCCAGCTATACTCAAGTTGTGTGGAGAAACTCGGTAAAGTTGGGATGTGCAAAGGCGAGATGCCCCGATCCTGTATATGGACGACGAACATTTGTTTATTGCAACTATGATCCTCGCGGTAACGGTTTTGAGGAGCGGCCTTACTAAAAGGAAATAAAAACATGTATGTATTGTCTCTATGTTGTTCGTCAGCTAATAATTTTTGGTTTCCTCGGCCCGGTTTTCTTTTGTACCATATGTGATATGTCCATATCTATACGTGGATTTTTCAAATGGAATAAAAAAATGCAATGCTTACGGCATGCACTTACTTTGTTTGCCAAATAAAATTCTCAATTTTCTCAATTGTTGAAAATATGTCAAGGATTTATAAACCTTCAGCTGAATTTTTATAAAAGCGCTTCCAAACGTTTAGCTTAATTTGTTCTCTCTATAATATGTTTTCTACTAAGTATCAATGTAATGACCGTTCTTATTTTTCTGTTTTTCTAGATATAGTAGTTCTGGCTATACCATTGAGGCATTGAACCAGAAATATTATTTCATCACACTTTTATCCGAGAAGATTAGGCGCTTAATTGACGAATATGGTGAACCAAAAATATTAAGTCAAGATCTTCTTAACTTATCTAAATCCACAGCCTAAACTAATAATTTTAAAGATATTGTTCGATCACACTTAGCTGTCCGAAATAGTCAGCTCTACGAACATGCCACCTTTTTGCACATCTAAAATAATAAATAACGTGCGTACATCGTTCCACAATGTTAAAGTAACTGTTTAAATATAAGTTCTAGTCAACTGAAAACGTGACACCAGCTAGGCCATAAACGTCGTTACTAGTTTTATATATTAGCCTTGCATCCATTTCCACATGTTCAAAATAACATCACCAATTCACCTATCTCAAACATAAAAATCCATATCTACAAAGGTTACAGTGTATACCAGAATCTCTGAAAATTGCAAATATATAATTTGTATATTTTTCATACATAACTAATTTTTATGATATTCGTAGTCATTGAGAATGCAAAGCATCAACACAACATATTCGAATTCTAAATGTCACCGGCCACTGCAGTACAATTACTCTGAACATATTTTTTAATCAATTGGCCAACTATATTAGAACGAAGACACATTATTCAAAAAAAAAATAACAATATAAATGACAAGTGATTGTCTCAGAAAATAAACACGTGTTCTTGAAGTTTCGTTGCCACTTACTATATAACTTGGCTACGATCCTCAATTTAAAAAACCACCAACACTTAAAACCTTTTGATATTATTTAAAATTATTTAATTATTTTTAATATTATTTATATATACAATATTTTTCCTTTCATTACTATTTTAATTTGATTATTAGTTTTTTCTTTAATTTATAAACTTGAAAATGTTATTTTTAATTTATGTAATTTTTTTGGGTGAGATTGTTTTTAATTTCAGTTTTATGGATTTATAAAAAAAATATTGCTAAAAAAATTATTTATTAAAAATTAATAATTTTATTAAAAATAGAAAAAATTATTTTGTTTATGCTAATTAATTAATTTAATATAACATAATTTATATTTAAAAAAAATTAATTTACATATGTTTCGAAACTTTGTCGGAAATTTGTTTATCGAAATTTTGTTGGAGTTTCGTCGAAAATTTTACCGTCGGAATACTGTCGAAAAATTCTAAAAAAATTCCGATGAAATTTTTTTCTCAATGAACTTATACCGAATATTCGTCAGAATTTTGTTGGAATAGCATTATTCCAGTTGTTTTTTTGTAGTGTTCTATCGATTATGCTGTTTATCCTGTATCTGTAACTCTATATCCTGATGTTTCAAAATTGTTTAGTTTGTGTCTTATATAATCCACAGCCGATACTAATAATATTTTTAAAGATATTCCATCACACCCTTAGCTCTACGAATATGCCAGCTCTACGAACATGTCACCTTTTTTGCACACCTGAATAACGTGCGCACATCATTTCACAAAGTTTGGAAACTGTTTAAATATAAGTTCTAGTCAATTGAAAACGTGACACAAAGCCATAAACTATCATTTATATACATGAAATATTGTAAACTTTATAAAGTATTCATCACAAAACACACAAAGAAAGTCATATCTCACCTTATACGTGTTCCACACACACAAGACAACTAACACAAAAATCATCATTATACGTGTTTCTTATGGCCAACTATATTAGACCGAAGACACATAATCTTTTAAGACCATCCCCATTGAGGGATCACTCCCAAAGTTTACACAACTTCCAAAAAACAAAAATAATATAATAATCATTAGGTCCCACATGATTTGTGATACTGCCTCTTGTAGACTCTCCCCATTAAACCCGTATCATGACTATTCCATGAGTCCCACAACTCACGGCGACCCGTGATTGGTACGTTTATTAATTTTTTTTAAAAAAAGTCAAACGAATAAAAAAAATAAAAAGTCACCTAGGGAATCGAGCCCCATTGGTTCGTCAGTGGAGATGCTCTAAAATATTAACATCTAGGTATATAATAATCCGAGTGCGCGAGATAAACATTTTCGTATAACAATATATTATGTCTGTTTAATCCACATATAAGTTCGGTTCTAAATCATTTTTTATTTTAATCTATGAAAATATTACTATCATTCTAAATTCATGTTTATTTTGGTTTGTTCAGTTAAAATATTTGAGGTTTTTTTTTCTGTGATAACCAACAACTATTGTTTCTTATTTGATTTTAAGTTATATTAATTTTAGACAGTCTTATTTCGAATTAATGTTTCTTATTATAATTTTGAAATGCATGAAAAATCAAATCTAGATAATAAGAAAAAAATTATTAAAACAAATCATTTCCTTACAATTGTTCAATGATGGAAAGAAATATTAAGAAATGAATATTCCAACTTGCAAAAGAATTAAAATCCTCACTTATGGTGGATATTTAGTTATATAGGTGCTTATGTTAATATATATGTATATGTATATGTAAAAGTATATAAAAGTGATTGATAAATATATATATATATATATATATAATACGATGGTGTTATTCAATCATGTATTTTAAAAGAGTTTAAATGTAAACACAATCCACTGTTATTCAATTGATGATTCTAAATTCTATTTTAAAATTCAGTGTTATTCAATCTATGATTGAATTTCAGATTTTAAAATCTAGTGTTATTCAACTTTTAAGGATTTTAAAATTCTTTGTAATATAAGTGGATTTCAAATCATCAGTGATGGATTCTAATGAATAAATGATTAAACTCAAAATCCAAGGGGTATTGCAGAGATTTTAGAATCCATCAATTTTAACAATCTTAAAATTTAAAAATCTGATAGATTGTAAATATATAAAATTGATTTTAAATCACTAATTGAATAACACCACATCTTTGTTCAAAATAACATATGAAAGATAAATTCCAAAAAGAAAACTAAATAAAAATGAAATAAGTATAGACATTAGTGATTCTTTTACAAATTGTCTTTCTATTTGGAATCTTTGTATAATCCGTGGAATCTTACATATAAATTTTATATTAAAAAAACATAAAATAATATATAGTGTGAATATATTGATGTAGAGTTTGGCTGAGATATTTTTTACACGTGATATGTTAGTATGTTCATTCTCAAATCGTTATAAAATTGTCACGTGACAAACATAGTGTGAATGCATTAATGTTAAATGTTTTTCTTTTAACATAGAAGAGATATAAAATTTACAAATGAAAATAAAAAACGTGATCATGAAGTGTCCTTGCCACTTACTATATAACTGGCTACGATTCTTACTTTAAAAACCCACCAAGACTTAAAATCTCTAAACGTCAAAAACGAGAAAAAAGATGAAAATCTTTATCCCATCTCGAAACCTAATCTTAGCCACAACCATTTTCCTAGTTTTTATTGTTCCCCTAAGATCCCAAAACTGGTCACACGATTATTGGCTAGCTCACAACAAAGCAAGGGCCGCGGTTGGGGTGAGTCCTTTAAGGTGGAACAATTATTGTTAATTTTGAGTTTATTATGGGCTTCCAACTTAAAACCAATTGGTGATTAGTGGATGGGCCCTAACCTTTATATAGTAGTAGATTAATTCTTATATTTCTGATGTGAGATGTTTCTCATCAATACCCTCCCTCACGCTCAGACATCTCTAGGTCTGAAGCGTGGACAATGTGGGAATAACATCCACGGAGGACCCAACATCGGTATAGTAGTAATTGTAGTAAATTAGGTCAAAGGATTTTATCGCTCTGATACCATGTTAGATTCGGGTTTATTATGGGCTTCCAACTTAAAACCAATTGGTGATAAATGGATTGGGCCTAACCCTTTATATATTACTTAATTATATCTCAAACTACCGATGTGGGACTTAGTTTCATTCATTAACACTCCCCCTCACGCTCATGCGTGGACAACTGTGGGAACAACATCCACGGAGTGGCCCAGTATCGGGTGGCTCTGATACCATGTTAATTTTGAGTTTATTATGGGCTTCCAACTTAAAACCAATTGGTGATTAGTGGATGGGCCCTAACCTTTATATAGTAGTAGATTAATTCTTATATTTCTGATATGAGATATTTCTCATCAATAATTATGTGGCTTCTTATGCCCAACGCGTTGCGGCCGGGCGTATAGAAACATGCGCTACTCATAAGTCGGGAGGGGCCTTTGGCGAGAACATCGCTCGGGGTAATGGTAGCATGACAGGCGTTGATGCGGTTGCCATGTGGGTGAATGAGCAATTTGACTACGATTATAGTTCCAACACATGTGCTTCGGGCAAAGTATGCGGACACTATACTCAGGTTGTGTGGAGGACCACGGAGAAGTTGGGATGTGCAAGAGTGACTTGCAACAATGGTCAAATATTGGTTATTTGCAGCTATGATCCTCCAGGTAACAATACTGGCGAGCGGCCTTACTTAAAGCAAATAACAAGCTCCATTTGAATATGTTTCGAAGAATAATGTTTTTTTTTTTTTGTTCATCTTCGAAGAATAATGTTAAACAGATGTATGTATTGTTTCTATGTTTTTTCATTCTTTCTAAAATGTATTGTTTTCATGTTGTTCATCTATACCAATCTTATATCTTCTCTTTACTCATTTTTGTAGTTTTTGCTAGATACTGTATATAGTTCTGGTTAAACCATTAAACCAGGAATATTATTTTCATTAACCATAGTTATCGCAGAATTAGGTGACTAACGGAAGAAACGGTTTAACCACAAAAGCAAGTTAACTTTTTCTTATAAGATATCTAATCCACAGCCTAAACTAATAATTTTATGGATAGTCAGATCTGCGAACATGCCACCTTTTCTGCACACCTAAAACCATAAATAATGTGCGTAAACCATTCCACGATGTAAGAAAACTGTTTAAATATAAGTTATAGCCAACTGAAAACGTGACACTAGCTAGGCCATAAACGTCGTTGCTAGTTTTATATATTAGCATCTCCTCCTTTCCACATGGTCCAAAATCCAAAAAATCCATTTTCGTCCTTACATCACCAAATCACAATATCGCAAAAACACAAAAAATATATATCTACTAGGTTACAGTATATACCAGAATCTCCGAAAATTGCGTACTCACTCATAAGGGAAGGCAATCTATATAATAATGATTCACTTTTGAAGCTCCTAAGGCTATTCACATCAGCAGCCGAGTGGACCCCGCGTATTTAAATTTTAAAAGCTTATAGATTTTTTAAAATGACTATGAACAATGAATACAGTTTAGCACAGTGGTATAAGGTATTTAATTAAGTATGCAAGTGTGTGGGTTCAAACCACACAGCTATTATGTATTTTAGTTTTTTCGTTTGGATTATTATCATATGGGCTTTTTAGTTTTAATGTTTTTATGTTTTTTTCTTCCTCTGGACTTATTGTTTAAAACCCAAAATAGTGGAAAAATCCTAAANTTTAGGATTTTTCCACTATTTTGGGTTTTAAACAATAAGTCCAGAGGAAGAAAAAAACATAAAAACATTAAAACTAAAAAGCCCATATGATAATAATCCAAACGAAAAAACTAAAATACATAATAGCTGTGTGGTTTGAACCCACACACTTGCATACTTAATTAAATACCTTATACCACTGTGCTAAACTGTATTCATTTTTCATAGTCATTTTAAAAAACCTATAAGCTTTTAAAATTTAAATACGCGGGGTCCACTCGGCTGCTGATGTGGATAGCCTTAGGAGCTTCAAAAGTGAATCATTATTATATAGATTTCCTAATATATATTTTCAAAAAATTATGTATGTGAAATAAAATAAAATAAATAGTTTTGTTATTTATAAAATAACTATGTAATTTCATTTCAATTTTTAATAGTTACTATAATTTCATTTTTATCAGACTCCCGCGGATGGATTTCCACAGTCGATGACGCCGTAAAGAAAAATACCACATTATTCATGAACAAAATCCAAACTTACAAAAAAACATATCCAAACCTATCTATTGAAACCCAAACAACAAATATTAGCTTAAATTAAAGTTATTTTCAACTTGATAAATCGTTTAGTACAAATATGACGCCGAAAAGAAAAATACCACATTATTCATGAACAAAATCCAAACTTACAAAAAAATATATCCAAACCTATCTATTGAAACCTAAACAACAAATATTAGCTTAAATTAAAGTTATTTTCAAATTGATAAATCGTTTAGTACAAATATAAATATTATAAATAAATATTTATATCAATTTTTGACATCCGATATAAAAACTATTTCCAACATAAAAAAAAACAATATAGACATCTATTTTTATACACTAAAAACTATATTATAATTTAGTTATTCCTATAAACCTTATTTCGCATATAAATAACATTTAACACATTATATATACAATATTTTCACTTTGCACTCTTGCTACATTCTTTCCATTTCATCATTATTTGGTATTATTAGAATAATCCACTAAACCAACAACCGAAAAAAACACAGATCTAGGCTCCGCGCTTGCGCGGGGTTATGCAACTAGTTCAATTAAAAAAAAAGAATGCAAAGCATCAACACATTTGATTTCTAATTTCACCGGCCACTTGAGATGTTGAAAAGGGTTTTTCAGACGAACCCAATTTCTAAAAACTAAAAAGTATAAAGGCAGCCTTATTTTAGCCGTAAGAGTTTATAATTATATACATGGGCTGGACTAGAGCAGAGCGGTCCTAAAATATTTTAAGATTGGAAGGAAAAAAATGTGGCCAACATTGGTCAAACCCGTGACTTGAAGAATATGAGTGTTGTGCACATTACCACTAGACCAAAAGGACAACACAATTATGTGGCGGAAACTGTTTAATAAAGTAAATGGCCACAAGCAACTGCTTTCATATCTTGATGCTAGGACCGGCTCTGAACTAGGATTAGCATAATTCATAATAATTTTTAAAAACAATAAATAAATAATATTATCTAATAATTTAAATAAATATAATCTATTTATTTAAATATTCATAATACCAACAAATAGATTTTTTTTATTTCGATAGAGACACAAGATTTTTACAAGAAAAACTATTTGTTGATTTCGGCAAAAAAATTAAATATGACAATTTTGATTAAAAAAAACTCAAATTTAGCGTTTTGATGGGAAATTATATTGTGGTTGTGGCGGGAAAACTCGATTTTACAGTTTTGGTAGAAAACTCAATTTCTTGATTTTTACAAAAAAAAACACTCGATCGTGGTTTTGGCACGAAAATTCAATTTTAGTTTTTTGCGGAAAACTCGATTTTTAGTTTTGGCGAGAAAATTTGATTTTTGGTTATGGCGGAGAAACTCGATGTTGAGTTTTTGTAGACAAATTTGAATTTGCGATTTTGACAAGAAACCTCGAATTTTTGATTTTGACAAGAAACCTTGAATTTGTGATTTTGACAGGAAAATTTGAATTGTGTGATTTTAGCAAAAAATTTAATTTCGTAATTTTGGTAAGAAAATTTAAATTGTTTTTATTTTGGTGAAAAAACTTGATTTTACTGTTTAGTGAGAAAATTTGATTTGTGGTTTTTCCTAGAAAATTTAAATTATGTTTTAATGAAAAAAAAAATCTGATTTTTTGATTTTAACAAAAGGTACTCGAATTTTTCGGTTTTGACGAGAAAAAAAACTCAGATTTTGCGAGTAATAGAAGAAAACGTTAAGTCAAAATTTTCTTAAACTATACTTCTAAATCCACAGCCTAAACTAATAATTTTAAAGATATTGTTTGATCACTTAGCTGTCAAGACAGTCAGCTCTACGAACATGCTACTCTTCTGTATAACAATAAATAACGAGCGTAGCCCTTTCTCAAAAAAAAATAATAATAAATAACGAGCGTACATCATTCCACAATGTTTGAAAACTATTTAAATATAAGTCCTACTAGTTTTATATATACTAGATTTTATACTCGCGCTACGCGCGAGTCTGTATTAATAATTTATTTTAGCTTTAAAATAATTTAAAACAAAAAAATTAATTGGATAACATAATTTTATTATTTAAAATATAATTTTTAATTTAGTATTTGTGTTTTCGTATAATTATGTTATCTTATTAGCTATTTAATTATTTGTATTTGTAAATATAATAATTATGTTGTAAACATATTCATAATTTTTAGAAATATTAATTTATATTTTATAATATTAAATAGATTTCTCAACATGTAAACGGTTAACACNAAGTTGTATAAAATTTTAATATTTAAATAAGTAATATTTAGATTTTTTATATGTAATGAATAACTGTATTTATTAACTGTATTGAGAAGTTCTACTTTGGTTTACTATTCAGTTTTTTAAGAAATAGCAAAATTAATATAATTATTTGACTAATTATTTTTGGTAATTATTTTATGTTATTTTCGAAATTATTTTATAAGTTAAGTTAACTTATATATTTTGTTTTGAAATTAATAATTGTTTTAATATTGACTTTTAAAGAAATAGTAAAGTTAAGATAATTTGTTATTTTAATTAATTTCGAAAATCTATAAATGTGAACATTAACTTATATATAATATTTTACTTTTTTAAGTTTCCCTTATACATATTTATTATTATTACTATTTTTTATTTAGTAACATTAAAATTTTTAAAAATAACAAATTAAGAAACTTACGTATCATGATAAGATTTTAAGACTTAAATTCTATGTGGTCGTTATAGTCATGTTGACTTTTTCCGAAATATTAAAATTAAGATAATTTGTTATTTTAGTTAATTTCGAAAATCTATAAATGTTAAAATTAAATTATATATAATGATATTCTTTTTTAAGTTTCCCTTATACATATTTATTATTATTTTTTTATTTAGTAACATTAACATTTTTAAAAATAACAAATCAAAAAACTTATGTGTCATGATATGATTGGAATACTTAAATCATATGTGGTCGTTCTAGTCATATTGAATTTTTCCAAAATATTAAAATTAAGATAATTTGTTATTTTAATGTTAAAATTAAATTATATATAATGTTTTATTTTTTAAAGTTTCCCTTATACATATTTTTCTTAGTAACATTAACATTTTTTAAAATAACAAATCAAAAAACTTATGTGTCATGATATGATTGGATGACTTAAATTCTACGTAGA